AGAACCGGACAGGATATTTTAAGCTTTTTTGCCTGTGAGCATGAAGCATCACTTTTCCCTCGTCTAGTTCCAGGCTTAGTAAAATCCAAAATTCTTGCTCGTGCGCACGCAAGATCTAAGCACACATGAAGACTGGATTCAAATTTACAGTCTGGCACATAGGCAGAAAACATCTTCCTGGATTTTCTGTTTGCCAAGATGAAAACCCTGAACAAAGATCTGGACACACGAAAACAATCCTTATGAGACTGTCATATGAGATTGTCGATTGTCGTCTCATGAATACGGATTGTTCGCATGTGTCCAGATTTTTGTTTCAGGTTTTCATCTTAGCAAACAGAAAATCTTTACAATCCTTATTTATGAGATCGTCGTCTCGTAAATGGTCGAAGTCAATGTTTTTACAGTTTCAGCTACCAGTTTCTGCATTTCTAAAACACAGGCAAACACATGCAAACAGCATATGTGCATTTAATTTTCTTGCCCCTATTTTTGCACAGTGAGCAAAGACAGCAAATTTTGGACGCAGTTCTGTGATATATTGCAGAAGCAACTCTGTTCATTTTGAGGAAAAACAGATGTACTAACCGAAGCATGAGGACTACGGATACTGCTTTTGCTTTAAAAAAAGCCCATGCATGCTTTAACAGTCGCAAGATTTATTGCAGCCTGCCTTCCTGAGCCTAAGCACAAGCGCAGCAGTACGAAGATTGGCGAGTGCTTCGACTGCTGCGACTTCCATTAGTTCTAATAATTATTAGCAGTTGCTCGAACAAGCACAGCCGTCCGTCAACATTTCGTCAGAGATGGTTTAGTTAGTAGCGAAGTGCAAAAATTTATTTCTCCAGTCGCACCCACTTAAAGCGATTTGTTTTTTTTTTTTTTTTTAAATTTCTGAAAGCCTATTTAAGTAAGAAGGCAGACTTGAATCCCTTTCCTAATTACTCCTTCTTCTTAACTTTGAAGCAGACAAACGCGGTGGTCATTGATATCTGCAGAAGTGCTGCAAAAGCGTTTAATTCAGAAAAGACAATTCAGGTCGGTGTAGATTACCTGCAGAAGCTGTGGAAACCAGATACATTTTTCCCGAATGAAAAAAAATCATTTTTCCACATAGCCACGACGCACAATTCATTTTTGCGAATCGACCCGAACGGCAACGTTCTAACCAGCCAAAGGTCAGCAAGTCTTCGAATTTAATAATAATTTATGAAGAATGCCAACGCAAGTTTTTAAACAGGTCAAAATAGTCAGCAAATCTTGAAGAACCCTGGTTTTCTTCCTTAGAAGAGCATAAATTTTTAAATTAAGTTCTGGAACTGCTTGCACTGCACATGGAAGAGTAATTTTTTTCGACAGTGGGAACCGCCCTATAAAAAGATTTGAATCCACAGCGATAAAATCGGCATTCTTTTAACTGGAAATCTCAAAAGCCCTTCTAAACTGTTTTTTTCCTTGCGTTTTTGCACCGCCGATGAAATGCAACAACGTATGTTGCGGGGAGGTTACTTA